GGGGACCTTTATTCTTTTAACGTGGATGCCTACATATTACAATCAGGTAATTGAGCCGCTGTAAGATTACTGTACTTGTTTTTATATGTGATTTCAGCTAATTTACAATAAGGACCTTAACATTATAAATTTATAAACTCAGTCATCCCAACAGATAAAAAATTGCTTTCATACAAGTTAATTATCATTACCTTTTCTTTTTGTTAGCATGTATTATTTTGACTCACTAATAAACTTATTTGTATCTATTTTTCTGTTTGTGATTGCTTTATCAGGTTTTGAAATTCAATCTCACTGAGTCAGGCCTATTATGTGTCTTGCCATGGTTGACCATGGCTGTTTTTGCAAATGTAGGAGGCTGGATTGCTGACACACTTGTGAGCAGAGGTCTGTCTATAACAGCAGTTCGAAAGGCAAGGATTAAATACTGCTCTTACTCTTAACCATGTTTAGGTACTATCAGGCTTTAATCACATTAATATATGCTTTGGGCACTGACTGATTGTCCAATGATAGTGAGAAGAATTTTAAGTTTATAAGAACATTGGTATTCCATGTGTTATTCCGAGAATAAAAAGAGCAGTCTATAAACTGATATGCCACATACATCCAAACTGTTTCGGTTTTGCCCAAGTAAATTTTCTGATTTTCCTTAATGTTAGTATGGAGAGGTCATACATGTCTTTAATTTTATAGGTGGTTTTCTTTGTCAAATTAACATTTACTTACTATGTGGATTAAATATAAGGATATGGATGTAGAATTGAACCTTTACATATACACTCACAACTGAACTAAAGTAAATATTCAGGATTCTCCGGGTATTTCTTATCAGATGGAGTAAATAATTTGATAGCTGTCAGTTCGATTAGATTTAACCAGCTCAAAGCAGTACTGATAAGGGTGATAGAACATGCATTCCACTTTTTTGCAATAATTTCTGCTGCCCGGTTTTCTTCAAGCTAAGTAATGGTTGCTCTTCAAAATTTGTTACCATTGCAGATCATGCAATCAATTGGGTTCTTAGGTCCAGCCTTCTTCCTTACACAACTCAGCCACATCAAGACTCCTGCTATGGCTGTACTCTGCATGGCATGCAGTCAGGTTCTTTCTAGATTGATGCCATCTTCACCAGTTTCACTCATCTTTTAATATTTGTTGTTTCTGACTATGACATGGATATCAAGACCTCCGTTTAGCTGTTGGATGAAAAATGGTGGTTTCTAGGTACTGTTTGCAAAGTGTTATCAATGAATTGCCTGCAAATCCTATCATGAGCTATGTAAGTGATTTCAGTAGGAATAGTATAAGTAATTTCAGTAAGAATAGTAGAACTGTACTATCCAACTCATCCTGCTTGCATGACTTGATACTGTCCTGGACTGGTTTTGTTATGGACTTGCCTCTGATTCAATAATAAGTATATAGGTTTGGATTAGAAGACTTGAGCGTGAAAGCTTAATTTAGAATGAGGATGTGTTACAAGCAGTCTGGATATCAGAAGGAAAGACCAGGCCACCTCCTTTTGTGCTGTGTTTCAAAGCTGGATTTTCTTTTTCATCTCCCATTTCTCCTTTTCCTATCAATTTTTAAAGGCAAAACCATAAGCATCTCATGAACATCAGATCAAAGGGGCAAATCAAAAGAGATTTTTTTCTGTATGCATGAGCACAAACAAACTTCAAGGGCTTGAAAGACCACGCAAGGGAGGCCAGGCACCCCCTGCATTTTATTTTCTTGGAATGAGATAAAAATGCTGAAAATATATAATTAAGTGGAGAGGAAAAATTTGAACTCACTGATAGATTAAAACATGTTCTAAGATGTCCATCATATGGCAATTATGTGCATGGCTTCCAGTAATGATATTAGTTAGCGGACAGAAGATGTAAAATTAGATGGCCTTTTATTTCTTCAAAATCCTGGATGAATTCTTGGTATTCTTTGTTGATGACAGGGATCGGATGCATTCTCACAGTCTGGTCTCTATTCAAATCACCAAGATATTGGCCCCCGTTATGCTGTGAGTCATCTCTATCTTTTTTATGACTACTTGGAGATCACCTTTAATTGTGATTTTCAAAATGTTTTGGCTCCTATGCTACTTGTTTATTGAAGATAGGGTTGTACTTGTTTTCTAAAGGCCTGTTCTATTTTTTTTTCCACATCAGTAAAGAAAAATTACTGTCTTCATCTTTGTAGAAGTCGTCTATAAACTTGAAGAAATTAGTCAAAAGTAAGCTCATAAATTTCAATTACAGGGAGTTCTATTAGGACTTTCAAATACTGCAGGAGTGCTTGCAGGTGTCTTTGGTACTGCTGCAACTGGATACATACTCCAAAGAGGTAAAACACTATAAGCAAATTAACTCCTACCTTTTGTTCTGCTGCGGGGATTTTTACTTTCTTAATTTGTTGTTTCTTCTCAATTTCGTTTCCGTAGGTTCTTGGGCTGATGTGTTTAAGGTGGCTGTCGCACTTTATATCATAGGCACATTAGTCTGGAACTTTTTTTCAACTGGAGAGAAAGTTCTTGACTAGAGTAATATAAGAATGGGTGGAAAGAAGTAATCTACATGAAGAATTGCTGTCTACTTTGCCGAGTAAAAAGAGAAAGGGGCACCGGAAAGGACAAATGTAACACATGTAAGTATGAAAACCCTGATTAATAATTAAAGGCTAGGATGCCCCAATGCATATTCGACTATTCGTACCATCCTTGAGGCCCTTAAATTGCTGCTTGCTTGTTTTGGGGTTGGTTTAAAGACCTCTCTATGGGTTAGTGTCATGCCTTTTTCTTTCCTTTGCATTATTAATATACATTTGCAGATTAGGCAATTTTTGCTCATAGAAATATACCACGTCATCCACTAAAGAAAACTCACTTTAAACCTCAGCTTTATAAGAGAAATCAGACAGCAGTTCTTCCAAATACAAAAATATGAAATTGACAGTACAACATCTATCTTCCACACATTTTAGGTGGTGGAGTGGACATTTGGTCACGATCACCATGTTCTCTATTAGTAGTTGCTCTTGCATTTTAATGGCTGTATCATTTTCTTGGATGTGGTTTAAGGCTTGCATGCAGTCCTTGTAACCATAGGTAAGCTTGGTGAGTTGATCCACTAACTCGAGAATTGGCCTCGGTTAGGTTTGGTTTTGAAATGCGTGAAGAGTCAAAACTCGAGTGAAACTTGTTCAATATTATTATTATTATTTGAAAACTGATTTCGTCGATTGACTCCCAAGTCCCAATTAGTGACCGGGGCCGATTTAGATTATGAAATTGTTAGGTCTTGTAATTATACTTGAAACCGGAAAGTTGGTATTTTTGGGTGGTTGGAAGATACTGGACTCGGCAAACTGTGAAATAATTTCTAGTAATTATTGCCATAAAGAACATGATGATGATCAACATTGTTATTGATTTTAGTTGGGCTTATATTAAGAAAAAATACAACGGATGGGGTTTAAATAGTGTCAAATAGTGAAATGATGATCTTGTGTTTCTCACCAAAAACATTTCGCCTTATTATTAGAGATAATAGAGTATTGTCATATTTTTTACACATTAAAATTACTTCCTCATGACAACAAAAAATATTGAACTAGTTTCTAGTCTATGGACGCTATTTAGATTTTTTATGTTTTAAAAGCTTAGTAAAGTAATTAGATTGCTCATTGCTCTTAAAATATATAAAAAAAAAATAATAGGTGTTAAATGAGTTTTTTCATCTTTTTATCCTATTTTTTTTTTGTTACTGTTAAGTTGAATGGGAGGCATTTTTGTTATTGAATAAATATAAATATTATTAAAAAAGTACATGGTGATGCATTGTACCATTAATACTTGGATTGATATCAAGCTATTTGGATGATGCGTGTAGGGTTGTTTGGTGGCCAAATAGTGGCTTCCAAGTGTCATTTGAATTATCTTGGTGACCCTTCTATTTTTAAGTGTTATGAGTGATGTATGGATATTTGATTTGATGCCGATGATTTTTTTTCCCTTGATTTTCATGCAAGAACTTCCATATATTCAAAGAAGTTTTTCAGTTTATTTTTTCTTTATATTTGGTAAATATTTTTTTATTATTTATTTTATTTGAAATGATTTATAGAATTGGTTTTTTTTTAATTTTATTATATTATTTTTTAAAGTGTATTTTTTGTTTGAAAACATATTAAAATAATAGTTTTTAATATCAGAATATCAAATTGATGTGGTGCTGCTCTGCCAAACTGACTAAATATTTCATATAAAAAAGTGAAGGGTTTATATCTTTATAAATTATATTGGCTTAACCTATTGAAAACGATCCAAACACAGATTTACAACAAAAAAAAATAAAATCCGAAGAAACGGTGGTGGCACCGCTGTGCCAAATTGACACCAAATATCTGATATATAAAAAAGTAGTGAAGGGTTTCCATGTTTATAAATTATATTGATTTAAACTGTTGAATTACAGATAATGTTCATTAGGCAAGATCTAAATGATTCGCTAATCTCTCCAATATATAACAATGGCTTCGTTAATTTTTATTTATAGACTTGTCTTGATATCTATTCTTCTTATATTGCAAAAAAAAACAAAATGATGAGCTATAAATGAACCAGATGAATTTTGACTGGGAACATTTTATTTATTTATTTTTATGTCGGAGCAGCTTGAACTGTAAATTTAAGCGATATGAGATCCCAATGCAACCAAATAAAATCCTTTCCCTCTACATGATTTTACTGAAAATATCACGTTTTAAGAAATTTCATTCGTTTCATCCAAGCAGGGTTGCGCGCACCAATCAAAACAATTTTCATGTTCCTGTCGGATCTTCCGAACCGCATGAGATCTCTGAATACACATGATTTCAGGGACGCACCATAATTATCGATTTTTGCTCGAAATTCCCCGCATCTTTCAAGCAAAATTATTACCTTTTTTTCAATTAAAAAACAAATGACTCTCATCAGTACCAGAAATGTAAATTTTTTTATCCAAATCCTCGTATTTTCTTAACAAACCAGGTGAAATATGTACAAATCCCATTAAAAATCCATATACATCTCCCGGTGATGATAGATAGACTTAACCGTGGATACTACAGCTCAATGGCTTCAACTCTGGGCTGACGTAGAGAGTAACTCTCTAAATGGAACATCTGTGCCACCGCAAGCTTCCACTGGCACAGAATTCATGGGTGTTTTAGATACACAGTTAGTTCTCTGCTACCTGCCAATCTTCAAATGAAAAATGAACTCCCACAACGAGCCAGATACTGAAAAACCACCACCACAATTACAGAAGCACAACAATATCAAACTTTTAACATTTAGCCACGGAGCTCTGACATGTGAAAATCAGGTCAGCCACACAGAAAAATACAGTAATTTACCATCCAGACATTCTTGTCAATATCTTAGTTGTCACTTGGGACACTTCCCCTGATAAAAGAACCGCGTCGATGGCCACCCACAATCACATCTTTAAGACGAGTTATTGGCCCCAATATCCTCCCACTTTTCTGCAAACAGAGCAATAGAAGTCAGACTTGGTGGAAAAGACGAGTTCAAAGGGGAACTGGACATGGGAAAGCGTTGTTATTGATAGATATTATCCATGCAGCAGAGTATGGCAGCAAACAAGGGGTGGGGATCATGAAGGCAACAACCATAACTTGATGGGCCATCCATATGCAAAAATGAGTAAATTAATTTATGCCAAGTACTAAGATCTGCTCAAACACAATAGAAAGAAGTTACGCAGCAGTTTTAGTGCACCAATTAAGTACTTACAACACTTGCACAGCGGTGAGGGTAACAAGCATGATCTAGCGTGCAAATTTCAGAAGCTACCTATATGACTAGGAGTTACCAGGGTGCACCTCATTTAAGTGTAAAGCTTTAATCAATCCAGTATGTAGCCTCATGCTCTTGCGTATCAGAGCTCAGGCAGCCAAAGTTTAAAAATAAAAAAGAGAGAATTATAGATATTAAAATGGAGGGAAGTATTAACAGGAGACTGTTATCAATTAATAATAACTTCTCGCGGTTGTTGGTATAAGTTGACTATTTGCATTGGATTTCTCTCCCCTTCTTCACCAGCACATTCCGCGCGCTCTCTCCTTCCCGTCGAATGACATCTTTAGTGATTACACATTAACCAGCAGGGCTCTAAACTTCAACCCCAATAGATAATACGAAAAAGATATGAGCTCCCAAAACCCATGCAGATTCTACTATCATACTAGTAGAGCTAGATGTAAAGTTTTAAGCAAAATTTATATGCAGACAAAGTCTTGATCCATGATAAAAAAATAAAAAGGGGATGGTGATGCAGGAAAAAAAGTACCTCATTGTTGATCATAGCCTGCCACCTTTCTTGCTGCCAGCGCTGCCCAAGGATTACAATTCCCATCACAGCTGCTGCAACAAAAATGGACCAAAATGCATTTGCCTCTTTTGCATGAGCATGCAAGGAAGCCACCCTTCTCTTCCACCAAGCATCACAAGGAAGGCTGTCATCTTTGGCAGCTTTCGGTGAGGAAGGAACATCAGTAGGAAAATCTAAGACCTTTTCAGAAGGTTCGTTTACTTCAGGAATTCCAAGGTTCTCATCATATGTGGTTGATCCACCAAGTGCTGTTTCGTTGTGTAGAGAACCAAATGTCGCTGTACTGTATACACTTTGTTCCTTGTCACTGAAATCTTGCAAAGTTGTGCTTTCTTCCAATTCTTTACCATTTTTTCCCTTCACATCAAACAACTGCATCCCATGAAACTCTTCAGATTCATCCAACCCCTTGAGTGGCCAACTCTCTTCATTCTTACAACTGGATCTACCTCCCTCTTCTAAACCAAGCTCAGAGGGCACATTCTTCCCTACTCGTGAATCAAGAATCTCACTGTTAACAGGTTCCAATGACAAATTCTCATGTTGACCTGGTGGAAGCACAAAATGACGAGACATGAATAAAGCCCGAGAAGTTTCATCCCCATCCTCATCATAAGCCCTGCTGCTTTCGTAATCCTTCTGATCAACTTCTTTTGGACCAGGAGCAGCTGCATATGTTGATGCTGTAAGAGATACAACCTCCCAATCATTCCCACGAGAGGGATTCTCCTCCCCTTCGTTTTTACCCTCCATCTTCCACGTAAACTATCTTCCTAAGTTCACAGACACAGGAAAACATCGAGACATACAATATTCTTTGATCAAATTATGGACCAAGTTAATTTAATAGCACCATAAAGCAGCCAGGCTACCAAGATATCAACCAAAAGCACACAAAACAGACCAAATAAAATATTTCAGCTCTATCATTAACCACTCGTTTTCTGTTCAGTTACCTGAAAACACAAATTCAATCAATCTCCGGTGAATTAATACACGAAAAAAAAGGTGCAAGTCCCAATCGAGATAACTCTAGTTAAAGCAGTGGTGATCAATAAAACTGACAAACCACAAACTCTACATATTACAAAAATCTAACTCCACCATGCGGAAAACGATAACTGTGCGCATGATAAACAACCGATCAGTCAAATAAAACAATTACAGATCCCAAACACAAGCTAGCAGACAATCAAAACACAGTCATCATCCATCGGAGAAAAACAACGGCTGAGATCTTTCGAGATGCAGACAACGAAAGTAGATATGGAGAACTCACAGATATATAATCGGACGAGATCCAGAGCGATATGGAGATCAAAACGATGACGTTTTGCTGACGATGGTGGAAAATGCCTGGAGAGGAGTGCCGAGAGGGAGGAATGGGATTTTATTGTATTGTACTGGGCTGTACTACTCTGGGGATGAGAACAAGTAAACCTGCAGTGGCCGGTTGTTTAGGAGGGTCGAGGAAATGGTTTTGACCGGCTGCAGTAGGTGAAGCGTGTTCGGTTGTGTGATTAGTGGATTCTAAGCTTATCTGCTCGCTTCCGTACAGTCAGGGAATCGTGATTCCTTGCTTGTGTCTAAACTTCTTTAAAATTAGCAAGCTAGCTTTGCGTGGGAGGGAGGAAAGGCATGTTTTTTACACGCCCCTTGAATCATGATTATCAGAGCAATTTAATATATATATATATATATATATCTCAAAATAACGTATCCATATTTTACATGTGGTGTAAGGCTAAAAATAGTAAATATGATAAAATTATGTCAAAAATATATTAAATTTTTAAAAAAATTATATAAAAATAAATTATTAAAATGAATATATAATAATTAAAAAATATATTTAAATGAGTTTAAATAAACAAAATAAAAGATAAGAGTGATATTAACTTAAATCTAAATTAAAATTTTATTTAAAAAAATATAAAAAAATAAAAATAAAAAGGCCACTGTATTTGCCCAATTAGTAAGGGTCCAGATACTTGGGCTCTTATATTTTTATGGGCTCTTATATTTTTAGTGGATGTTCTTCGTCCTAATTGTTTTTGGAAAATAAAAGGTTAGATTTTCTTATTTTAGTCAATGTGGTTATTGGAAAACCGAGAGTAAACTATTTTTTTATCTTGTAACTCATTTTCACCTATAATACTTTAAAAATCTTGTTAAATCAATTAATGAACCCAAAAAATCAAATCAATGATCGAAATTAGTTGCAAATTAAAAATATTCCCAGGTTTAGATTTGTTTTATACACTTTTAATATAAAAAAAGAACATTTAAATGGGACTCCTTTCATTATAAAGAACTAATTAACATAAGGATTTTCTATTTTGATGACCGAAATTAATATTAGCATTATTTTTTATTTCTTTACTATTAAAATATAGTGATTCTCTCTCATATCTAAAAATATGGATTAAAAAAAACAAAATTAATTTTTTTTCTGAAACATTAAAAATTAGAGGACCAGTTCTTGTAATTGGGAAAGAATATCGTATTCTCTCATGATCTAGTGTGGACGGCATTGTTTAATAATCCGTACTGTTTGTGATGTATTATGTCTTGTTTTATTTGTATATTCTCAAGAATCCAGGGTGTTTTGTCAAATTGAAAAATTAAATTAGGGACCAGTTTAATAAAAAAGAGTTTAAATTTATAATATGGAAAGAAAAAATAAGAAACAAAGGGGCTTTTCCAAGTTCGCATGAAAAATTAGGATTTTACGTTGATGTACCTTTTTGGTATAAGATATTTTTTGTCAGTTTCTTGAAATCCCGGGTCATTTGATACCTTATTTATTTACTAAAAACTAATTTTTTTTAGAAAATAAATTATTTTTTGATATTTAGTAGTTTAGTAGAAAATAAATTAGAAAATATTTTCTAGTATTTAGTTATGTTATGAAAAATAAAGTGAAAAATAATTTATTAATATTTTATTTTTTTAAATTTATTAAAATAACGGAATAATTTATTAATAATTTATTTTTTTAAATTTATTAAAATAATGGTCTCTAACTATAAAAAAAAAATTATTAATTAATTAATTTTTTTAATAATAACCAAACACAAAAAAAAATTATAAATAATTTTATAAAAATAACTTTTCAAAAAACAAACAACCTAATTTTATTTGTCTTCGATTTTTAACAACTCTCTACTTTTCAAATGTTCAATAAAAACATTTACAATTTTATCACCATTACAATAAAAAAAAATGACACTTATATCACTTCAACAATATACTTGAGGTACAACCTAATTTTATTTGTCTTCGATTTTTAACAACTCTCTACTTTTCAAATGTTCAATAAAAACATTTACAATTTTATCACCACTACAATAAAAAAAAAATGACACTTATGTCACTTCAACAATACACTTGAGGTTTTAGCTTCGTGGTCTGCTGCAAGGCTTGTTTTGCAGCCGACCCGAGTTCAATCCTCTATGTATACCTGCCTGTCACTCTCGCGGTGTCTTACCTGTCTGCTGAGTTTGCAAGATATTTAGCTAAGTCATAAGATTAGTCGTGGTGCGAACAAATTAACGACCCGAGTTCAATCCTCTATGTATACCTACTTGTCACTCCCGCGGTGCCTTACCTGTTTGCTGGGTTTGTAAGATATTTATCTAAGTCATAGGATTAGTCGTGGTGCGAGCAAACTGACCCGGACATTCACGTTAATAAAAAAAAAAAAAACAATACACTTATGTCACTTCAACATTAAAACACTATTTATTTCTAGTACCTGTATAATAATAATAATGTAATCCTAGACGATGCATCGGGCTGTGATTTGGATTGGAAATGAAAATATAAAATATGCAAAATATGGATCTAAGGGTAGATTCGTACGTGAGACAAGACACATCTACTGTATCATGGATACATTACGAAAAAGACCCGAGAGTGGCCCATGCTTTTGCAACACATCTCTTTAAAAGATTGACCAATTCTTTGTAATCTTCGTATGAACTTACATATTTTAAGTAGATCATAACTTATTTCTTATGTTTTTGATAGATTTTTAGTGATTAATGCAATGTTTGGAGACATAATTTGTTTGTTGACACCCAAAACCATGTCACGACATGCAATTCTACAAATCGGACAAGAGTAGTTAGTCTGGAGAACAAAAATCTATTCAATGGCGGTGGGTCTTGTGAAAACAGAGCCTTCTATTTTTCTGGGGCTCAGGGGAAGTATTCAGTCTGTATTTTGGGAAGGGAAGCAAAGATATTTGTTGGCAACGGGAAAGGGAAGCAAAATTAAGGCCTTGTTTGGCTCGTTCTTTGAACAAGGACTTGAAAAGGGCCTTGATTTAGCTTCCCTGTACGATTGGCAGCAAATATATCTGGTCGTTTGCCAAAAAAACAGAATGAATACCTCTCCTGAGCCACAAGAAAACAGAATGCTCTGCTTTCACAAGGTCCACCACCATTGTATGGAGTCTGGAAACGTTTCTTCCAGGTAGGACCTGTTAGTGAAAAGGGCGTTTTGCCCTTTTATATATGGATTTTTTTCATATAGGATTCACTAAATAAGTGGCTAACGCTATCTTGCTAGTCATGTTAGATTTTTTTTTTGATATAAAACAGAATATTCAGACAATGATAACATGAATTAACATTGATTAATATATGATACAAGATATAATCTCTAGATAACCCTGTATAAAAAATTATAAAACTCAACATTCAATAATCTAAAGTTAAATAATAAAATTTAAAAAAAAAATCTATTTAAAAAAATCAAGAAAAAAATTTAAATCAATTCAGGTTAACTTGATAGTCCTACTATATTCGAAATAAGATCACGATAGAAAAATAAAATTTTTAAAAAATAAAAAAAATCAAAGTTAAATTAATAAAAAAGGATAAAAATATCAAATCTATTCAGGTTAACTCTACTAATCTGAACTTAGGATAACCTCGTATAAAAAAGAACTTAGGATAACCTCGTATAAAAAAAAATCACAGAGTTCAAAGGCCAATAATTTAACACCAAAGAATGAAAGTGAAAAACAAAATCAACATAAAAAATTCAAGAAAAAAACCTAAGCTAACCCGGGTTAACTCAGTCAACTCTCTACCTGGGATAAAAGATCATGATAACCCCCCATGATCAAGAAAACGGAACAAATTACAAAGCTTAAGGCCCAATAACACAATATCAATAATGAAATTTTAAAAAAATCAATTTATACAAAAGATCTAAAAAATACAGAGCTTAAACCAAGTTATGAGACTAGAATTAACTCATAAAGGACATATACAAAAAAAAATAACGAAGCAAAATTCTCAATCATAAAAAATGAAAAAGAATAAGCAAATAACAATCAAAACAACGATTACCAAATTTGATACAAAACTAAATGAAAGAAAAAAATTAGGGACTAAATCAGAAAAAATTAAGAAAATGATAAAAAAAAATTAACAATTAAAAGAATAAGGACTAAAATTGAATAAGATAAAATACTAAGGGACATAAATTGAAAAAAATCAATAAAATGATACAAAAAAATAATAATCAAAATAATAAATATCAAGCTAGATACATAAACTAAATGAAATAAAATATACAAGGATAAAAAAAATTCAAAAGGCATAAAACCAACACAAATAGAAATCAAAACAATATAGAACAAAATTAAGATAAATAAAAACTACAAGACACAATTAAATTTTAAAAAGGTTAGGCATGAATCCCAAAGTCAAAAAAAAAATAAGAAGGGGTAGGAGAAAAAAGCTCATCATCACCAAACCCTTGATAATTAAACTACATGTTTCACCTCATCGACTGTGTTGCCATGTAAAGTTTTGGTAGACATAAATGGTGGCGATTTTTGGTCATTGGACATCCTTACACATGTCTCCTGTAAGGAAATGGCGGCATACATTCTCATGTGCACCTTTTTTTTATATAATATTTATTATTTGTTAAAAAATTATTTTGCCTCTTATTTAGATAAAGAATAAAAAAAAAAACTATGATAAAAATATGAAAATGCCTAAGATAACATGTTTAGTATTTTTTTTAAAGGTATTTTAGTCTTTTAATTATTTTTAAAAATAGTGAAAAGACCATGGAGCACTTTACAACCATGCATTTTTTTATTACAAGGGTAGAGAAATAACTTCAACGTGTAATAAATATATGAAGTGGTTGATTTACCATCATTCCAATTGAAAATACCAATAAAATCTCATGAGAAGGACTATTTCACCCCTAAATTTGTTATTTCTTGGCTAGTAACACAAAGGAAAGAAACATTATTGCACCATAGCAATCCACAATGTAACGAGTCTTGCTCCATAATCTTTTATTGAGGCTCTCTATATTTTGTTGATGATATTCTTACATAATTTTTAGAATTTGTA